TTTAAAAAAATTAAAAATTAAAAAGAAATTAAAAAGAAAAAAAGCACCTCCTATGTTCCAGGCTCCAAGTCAACTTCCCTTTCATATCTCGTATTTTATTCAATCCTCAAGACAACCTTCAAAGCATCAAATATGATGCTGGTTTTGTATAAGAGGAAACCTGGTGTTCAGAACAGTTGACTTGCCGAAGACTATGGAGCTCACAACTGGCAGAGATGAGATTTGAACCGAGGTGGTTCAAAGGTGTGCTTTTCTTCAAATTCAAGAGATACAATGACTATGGCTGTGTGGCCATAGTCCTGATCATCAACGTGACTGGATTAAGAGATGCCCAGCAGATTAGTAAAGCAGACTTCTAGGTATATCTGGGTGAGTTATACAGGTGTGACATTGCCAAATATATCTGGCTCCTAGCTCTTTCTTCTTCGGCGCTTTCTGGAAGCCGTGAAGTGAGCAGCTTTCCTCTACCATGGCCTTCTGCCTTGATGCTTCTGTCTTGGAGCCTGCCTACCATGAACCCTCTGAAACTTGAGCCAAATTAAACCTCTTCTCCTTTAGGTTGTGAGTGACGGGCATTTTCTTCCTGCAATGGGAAAGCTGATCAGTATAGGCTGTCACACTGACCCACGTTACCTGTCCCATGGGCCAATCAAGAGATCTGTCATCATTCAAGGCCCTTCACTTAGGGACACGGGACAAAGATGCCCCTCTTGGCATCAGACTGAAAGGTTAAATCTGGGTCCACTGAGCGGGAGTCCTGCTACATGTTGCCATCTTGCCCAGAGAGACAGAATAAAGTCCAGTAGGGAGCCCAGATTGTCCCAGCTGTGCTTCTGGATCACCAGGTGGCTCAGGTCTCTGTTTATAATAATGACAGGATACCCGCTACCCTGTGGCCTTTGGTGTAAAATTGGAGCATTGGGCATCTTGACCATAAAGCTCTTCTTAGCATTGACCTTTCCCAGGTCTATTAAAGTCTATGAGTCTGAAGGCAGCTTCACATGGGAAAGGCAAGAAAGCACTGTGGTTGGCTGTCAGACAGACATACACTCAAATCCTCATGGGGACCAGGTGACCTTGAGCCACTGCGTTACCCTCTGAGCCTCAGCGGCTTCATCTACAAAGTGCATCTGTTCTAACAACGCAGTCTTCTCACCCCAGAGCTGGCATACAGTGGGCATGTGTGACGGACAGCTCCTAGCCAGCAGCCAGCCCAGGAAAGCCTCCCTATAAGCCTACTCACCTCCCCTCCATTGACATAGTCGAGCACAAAGTAGAGCTTCTCAGGGGTCTGGAAGGAGTAGCGCAGGCCCACGAGGAACGGATGCTGCACGTTCTTCAGCAGCACATTGCGCTCTGCCATGATGTGGCTCTGCTGTAGAGCCACACAGACAGGGGACCGTGTCACTGCCCACCACAACCCCTTTCATCCCAGTACAACACCACATGGCCTTGATGGTGGGGGCTGCCCTGCCCAGGACTTTCTCATCCTCCTGCTCAAGCACCCACAGTGGCTCCCTATTGCCCTCAAAGCCAAGACCGAGTTCCTTGCTAGTAATCAGGGGCCAGAGTGGTCAGGCTCATCCCCAGCCACTCCTTGTCAGTATAGTTTCAGCCCCTGGATCAGAAATTCCTGTTCCTAGGGGAAGAAACAAAGCAAATCTGATGATTATATAAACGAGTCCCAAGGGAAATCTGTAGGAAAAAAAGCACCACGTGCTATCCACATTCATGCATTTGTTCATGTTTGGAATGCTACTGTCAAGGCCAGCTGCGAGACCACCGCCTCCTACCCTCATGACGTCCTCATTAGCATTAGTCACTCTCCTGAGTCCTGTGACTTGACATTCAGTCCTAATGGGGGTGGAAGGGGTTAGAGGTTAAAGGGACTCAGTAGGTGGAGGCATCTAGAAATCCAGCTGGCCTTGGTTTGAAGGGCATTTGGCGAGTACAAAGTGTGCACATGGGGAGTCTGGCACCTTGACAGGACAGAAAACATGTCCTTCATGCAGCCTTGTATTTCCCACAGAAAGGCAGAAGCCCTCTAAGTGAGGCACTGGGCCTTCCTCCCTCGAGAAGGAGTAGCCTCCTGAGTACCCACTGGAACTCCTGCTGTGACCACTTCTGCACCCAGCTCTGTGGGCCCCTTGGAGGGGGGACCATTTTTGGAAGCCACACACGGTTGGACAGTTTTCGTTTTGTTTCTTTTTGTCTTTTTGAGACAGGGTCTCACTCTGTAGTTCAGGCTGGCCTTGAGCTCACTTTGTAGCCCAGGCTAGCCTCAAACTCACAACAATCCTCCTGCCTCAGCCTCCTGAGTGCTGGGATTACAGGCATGTGCCACCATGCTCAGCTTGGAGAGCTTTTTGAAGGAGCAGAAGTGTCTGTGCCTAAACTCTGTTACCTCTTTGTTCTTTAAAATGGACTTTTTCTGCAGCACCTTCACGGCATAGAAGGTCCCGTCAGACTTGCGCTTGGCCAGCAGGACCTGAGCAGAAGCACAGAGGCAAGACCCTAAGGGTGACTGCTTGCATTATGCAGGAATGTGAGCTCTCTCTTTGCATGTACAAATGGTATGCAGCAAGCAGAGGAGGCTGGAGAAGGGCAAACCCACTCTCTCCTCTCAACTCACCTTCCCATAGTTCCCTTTACCAATGACTTTGAGGAAGTCGAAGTCTGTGGGACAGGCACTGGGGGAAGAGAGCAGAAGAACATAGATCAGCGTTTGCAGGCTCCTGAGTGCAAATCTAGGCTTCTTTTCGGCTGGGATTGGGAAATGCAGGCAGCCTTCTAGAGGCTACATCTCCACCACCCTGAAGAACTCATCCTCCCAGCCCAGAGAGGCCTGTAAGACTTGCTCTTCCCCTCAGGGAGCTCACAGTCCAGGTGACAACAGGCAAGCAGAGGATAACAGCTCTCCGCATAGAAAGCTCCCTGCTCCAATCCTGAGAATGGCCTGTGGCTGGGAAGTTGCTAAAAGTGCAGGAGTTGAAGGGGAAATAGGCAAAAGGCTGTTTGTATTCCAGGAAAAAGACTCAGCGTGAGCAATGGCTGGGGCATTAGTAGGTTATGAAGCTGGGGGAAGGGCCCCAAGCCCAGGTGACGGAGAGACTTAACCACCATATGAGAGGCTTTGCGTTATATTCCCAAGGCAAGGGGAGCAAGCTCTGAGGGAAGCCGGGTAGGAAAGTCACTGACAGACCAGAACTCACTTTGGGTTGGCTGAAGGACCCAGGTTGATGTTCCCATTGGCCCTGGAAGGCTGAAGACATTTTTTAAAAAGAGGTGATTAATTGGCCTCCTGTCTTTCCCCAGCCCAGGCCTGGTCTATTCTCCAGCATCTCATCTGTCTTCACAACCAGCTCTATAACTCTTCCGCCCCATCTACTTCTTGAAGTCCTCAATCAAATCTCTCCCCAATTTACTCTCCACCTCTGTGAGCCACTGTGATCTCTGTTGGCTCCTGGTCCTGGTCTAGGACAGCCTATGGGATTGGCCAGTGTCTCCTCGGATTTACTCAGCCTTGGAAGAAAGTGAGCCCCCTGGTGCCACGTGAGAGACCAAGCACTACTCACCTGTGGGCTAGGAATCCCACCTGGGCTGGAGGCCATTCTGTAGTCACAATCAGGTGGGCCCTGAGGGTGCAGGGACAGGAGGTGAGAGCGAGCCCTGTTCCAGTGATTCAGGCATGGCTACCCTCTCCTGCCTCCCCAACCCTGAACCCCGGCCTCACCTTGAGCAGCTCCTATGCCCCAGGTTAGTGACCCCTGCATAGATGGACAAGAGGTAGAGGCTCCTGGACCCAGCCTTTATCACTAAACATCTCAGGAGGGATGGAGCGGGAAGTCAGGAGTAGTGTGGCCCAGGCTGGGTCTTTCGAAGGGCTGGGCTCAGGCAGGGCAGTAAGACCCGTGAGCCACATCAGCTCCATAACCAGGGCAGGAAGGAACCTTGCGGGCCTAAAGTCTGAAGCCATTCCTCCACATCACAGGTGGGTACCAGAGGTCTAGAAAAGAGCTTGCTGGGGTTCCAGTTTGGGAGGGGTAGGCTGTAATCACCCGACTTCCCTATAGACTGTCGGCCACCCCCAATTCCCATGGGCAGGGTCCCAAGCTGGGCTCTGTGCTGACTGTAATTTTACCACGAGGACTTCTACTCAGCGCCCAGGAACAGCAGCTGCCCCAGGGGTCTGGACGGGAGCCAAAGAGAGCCCCGAGACCGGCCAGTATCTATCCGAGGTCAGGCAGCAGAGGGAGTGACCAGCTGGCCTATGCAGCCAGCAGTGCTGCGTCTTCCTTGCCCTTGTCGTCTGAAGGGTGTCTAGGCCCTGGTTTAGGATGCTCAGGACCCCACAGCCTCTGCACTCCCCACTTGGAAGGTCAAGGCTAAGAGCAAGATCTCACCCGAGAGCTCAGTTGCTCACATGCCTGCTGAATTGCACAACCCAGGACACAGCTTTGGCCCACTGTGGGCCTCAGGCAGCGGCCTGGCCTCAATGAGCAGATATCATTGATTGTTACACGGCCACCCTACGGCCTTCTGTGGAGCTAGGAAAGTGACCACAGGGGAAGGGCGGGAATCCTGCAGCCAGATGCCTCTAAGAGGCCCAGCCCCGAGGAAGCAAGCTGCACAAGTGCAAAGGAGGGAGTACAGCTGCGCTGGCTCCCGTAGGCAGCCTGCACCCCACCGGGGCTGACCCTGCTGGCTCCTGGGTTAGGCACAGACCTTACCAGCCCCACATACCTGTGCGGCCTGAGGAAAAGCCCGCGGGGAACGCAGCAGCGGAGCCAAGGACAGGCAGCAGACAAGAGCCTCTCTCTGTTCTCCCAACAAGAGCTGAAGTGTCAGTGCCTGGTGCCGGCCCGGCCCAGCACAGAGCTCACAACTCCCAGCGGTGGTGGCTGCAGCGAGGGGGCTGGCTGATGTCACACGGGATCCGGCAGAGCTTAAGATGGGACAGGAGACCTCTGTTTCCTTGGAGACACCATTGCCCCCTGGGAGAATGGGAGAGGAGGGTGGGCAACAGCTCAGGAGAGTCTGGACCCTAGGGCTTGTTAGAATGAGTGGGATCATGTGGGTCCGGGTGTGTGTTGTGTGTGTATGCAAGCATTTTGTGCACAGATGTATTTCAGTGTGTTTATGATGCATAAATGTGGTCTTGTATTTCATGCATTTGTCATGTGTGTGTGTGTTATTGTATCTATGCATTAACGTGCCCACATTCATGCATGTATGCCTGCATGTGTCTGTACATCACTGTGCTTCTCCACGTGTATGATGTGGAAGTTTTTCAGTGTGAGAGTGTATGCCAGGTATATTTTATGTAGGTTAGCACGTTTATATCAGGGTGTCTATCTGCAGATGAGTATGAGTGTGTGCTCTTATGTGCATGTTTGTATAATCGCACGTGTTTGTATAGGCACATCATTCAAGTGTCTGTGTCCACACCGGTGTACAGCAATAAATTTCCCTGTGCGTGCATGCTTGTGTGCACACGCATGTGGGGGGCCTGTCTCTAAGAACACACTTCCTAGGTGCTGCATAGACCCTGGGGCAGAAGCAGCATGCACTGGGGCTTGGACACGGACTGCTGAAAGCACTCCATTCCCAAGAACCAACAGGGGGCTGGGTTTCAGAGAAAGCTGGACTTGGGGCTCAGGCCAGCTGGCCTTGGTCTTTGACTACTGAGCACTTGGCCTTTTGGGCCTTCCCTGTTGGCCCCTCAAGGGCCCTGGCCCACTGTCCATGGAGCAGGCCTGGTTGGCCCACAGCTCTCCTGCTACACAGGGGACAGTGTGGGGCATCCCGCCTCACAAAGGCCTTGCTGTCTGAAGAACAATTAGTTTGCAAAGGGACCCTTCGTTTCCCTAAGCACTCATGAAGGGTGAGAAGGCATTCTGGGGAAGGAAGGAAGGGAGGAAGGGCGGAAGGAAGGGATGAAGGGAGAGAGGGAGGGAGGGAGGAAGGAAGGAAGGAAGGAAGCAAGGAAGGAGGTGACAGGCCTAACAGCCCCAGCCCTCTTCTAGAACTTTCTGCATGGTCACAGGCTACAATTTGCTGCAGGCTCTGAAATGCAGGGAACCCGGAAGTGTTGGTCCAAGAAAAATGGAGTAAACAGTGTCAAAGCCCTTCATCTTTCCACAAAACAACAGTGTTGAACCAGTACACAGATGTTCTGGATGTCATGTTGACAAAACACATACCCAGAGAGCAAGGACATTTCTTTGCAATAACAAGCACTGCTTGTAAGAGTAAAGTAACCATGGTAATAAGTGCAGTGTTCCCCCTCAGGGCGCTTCTGAATTCCCTGCAGCTATGAGGGCTCCTGCTTTTCACCTAATACCCCTGTTGCTCAGGGGTATTGAGATGCTGCCCCATTTCTCTGTTTTTTTTTTTTTTTTTTTTTGGTTTTTCTCTGGTACCGGGAACCGAACTCATGACCTTGCGCTTGCCAGGCAGGCGCTTTGCTGCTGAGCTAAATCCCCAGCCCCATCTCTGTTCTTTTCAGTTAAACTCCTCAAGGGTTGTCTGGACTCATCATCTCTACTCCTTTTCTTTTTATCTTTTGAGCCCATTCCAAGCGGGGCTCCATCCCAACACTCCAATGCATCTGTGGATGGTGGCCCACAGGTGCCAAAGCCAGACAGAAACAGGCCATCCTCGCCTCCCCATCTTTTTTTTTCTTCTTGTTTATGTGTGTGTGTGTGTGTGTGTGTATGTGTGTGTGTGTGTGTGTGTGTGTGTTTTACTGGGGATTGAACCCAGAACCTGAGCTACATTTGAACTCCTTTTTAGCTTTTACTTTATATTTTAAATTTTTTTTGAGATAAGGTCTCATTATGTATTCCAGGGTGGCCTTCAACTCGTTATGTAGCCCAGGCTGGCCTCAAACTATGGTGATACTCTTGCCTCAGCCTCCTGAGTGGTGGGATTATAGGCATGTGCTACCATGCCTGGGCTTACTTTTCAGTTTTGAGATAAGGTCTCATAAGTCACAAAATTGTCCAGGCTGGGTTTGAACTTGTAATCCTCCTGCCTCATCCTCCCAGAGCGCTGGGACTACAGGCACGTACCACCATGCCCAGCTCGGTGAAGGCTTTGGCACACTTATTTGACCCACTTGGCTTTGGGAGCTCCTAGTGCTCCTTGTGGGTCACTGACTACTTCATCTCTTATACTGGATACTCTCCTCTTTTCATCCTTCAACCTTGGCTCAATCCTTGGATCTCTGTACTTAGTAGATCAAAACCAGTTTTATGGCTTAACCAACTATATTTGACAGTCCCAGGTTTATTTCTTTTTTTATTTTTATTTTTATTTTATTTTATTTTTGCCTTTTTGAGACAGAGTCTTGCTATGTAGTTCAGGCTGGCCTTGAGCTCACTTTGTAGCCCAGGCTGGTCTCAAACTTGCAACGATCCTCCTGCCTCAGCCTCCCGAGTGCTGGGATTACAGGTGTGCACCACCATGCCCGGCCCCAGATTTATTTCTTTAGTTCTGATTCTCCCTGGAGTTCTGGCCTTACCTATCTGCTTTGTGACAATTTGCTCTACATCTACAAGCATCTCAGCCTTAACATATCCAAAACAAAAGCCTTGACCCCATTCCTTCCCCTCTGCCCCAGCCTGTTCCCGCTTGGCCACCTCACTATAAGCTACTCAAAACTTCAAGCTAGCAGCTTGGAATTCTTTCTTTTTTTTTATTTTAAAGAGAGTAGTAAAAAAAGAAACCATAGCAAAATGCCAACATCATAGACATAAACGAAACAAAGTAAGAACATTAAAAATGACATAGGGTTTCAAAACAAAATGATAGAAATTAACAGTGGTTGTTATAGTACATATTGTTATCTTCAGCTAAATTGTTCAGATTACCAGGTGTAAGAATGGAAGACTAGGGGCTGGGGATTTAGCTCACTGGCACAGCGCCTGCCTGGCAAGTGCGAGGTCTTGAGTTCAATTCCTGGTACTGGAAAAAAATTAAAATAAATAAATAGATAAAAAAGAATGGAAGACTGTTCAAACCGTTAAAGAGAATTTTAAAATATTATTAAAAAAACATTAGAGACAGTACAGAGTTTCACTAGACAAGATGGCAGGAATTCACCAATGGTTGTTCTATTGCATATTGTTGTCTTCAAATCAGTTGCTCAGATTACCAGATATAAGCATGCAAAATTGATCAAAATATAAAAAATTTTAATCATTATCTGTTCCCTTTGGCTGGGCATGGTATAATCCTATAATCCTAGCACTTGGGAGGCTGAGGCAGGAGGATCACTGTGAGTTTGAGACCAGCCTGGGCTACAAAGTGAGCTCAAGGCCAGCCTGAGCTGCACAGCGAGACCCTGTCTCAAAAAGACAAAAACAAAAAACATACAAAAACAAAACAAACAAAAAAACTGTTCCCTTCAACAAACCACCAGACATCAGCAGTACAGTTATCCCAGCTATATATTCATTCTTGAAACTACACTTTCACTCCACCTCTACTCCATCATGAAATACTATTCAATCTATCTGGAAAAGAAAACCAGCATGTGGAGGAGAAATCTGCACTCCCACGTTTACTGCAGCACTGTTCGTAACCGTCAAGATAGGGAACTGATCTCTGTATCCATCAGTGCATGAATAGATAAAGCAACTGTGGTATATGTAAGCAATGGAATATTACTCAGTATTAAAGGATGGAATGCTAGGCTTTGCTGCAACTTGGATAAACTTGGAGAACACTGCATTCAGTGAAATAAAAAAGATAAATACTACATGATCTCACTCATTGGTGGAATCTAAAAAATTTGACCTCATAGGAGTAGAGAGTAGACTAGTGGCTTCAGAGGCTGAAAAAGGCAAGGCGCACAAAGGAGATTTTTTTTTTGTCTTTTTGAGACAGGGTCTGGTGCAGTTCAGGCTGGCCATGAGCTCACTTTGTAGCCCAGGCTGGTCTCAAACTCAGTGATCCTCCTGCCTCAGCCTCCCAAGTGCTGGGGTTACAGGCGTGCACCACCACGCCTGGCTCCAAGGAGAATGATTAACAAGTAAAAAGTTACAGATAGGGGAAATAAGTTCAGGTCTTTTTTTTTTTTTTTTGGTCTTTTTGAGACAAGGTCTCACTATGCAGTTCAGGCTGGCCTTGAGCTCACTTTGTAGCCCAGGCTGGTCTTAAACTTGCAAAGATCCTCCTGCCTCAGCCTCCTGAGTGGCATGTGTCACCATGCCCCACTGCAAGTTCTGTTCTTTTATTGCAGAGTAAAGTGACTATGTTCCTAAATAACTAGAGAAGATTTTGAGTATTTTTACCATGGAGAACTAATCCATGTTTGAGGTGATATGTAAAACATCATGGTTTGGTCACTACACAATGTATACATGCATGAAATATACTACAAATATGTATGATTTTCATGTGTCGATTAAAAACAAAATAATTACATAAAATCTGCGGAGCCCGCTGCCACTTACCACCATTGCTGTAGCCCCCGTCACTACTTGTCATTGTTTCTCTCTGTATTCCCTTCACTCTTCCCTCTATCTTTTTTTATTTTGATTTTGGTCTTTTTGAGACAGGGTCTCACTATGTAGCTCAGTCTCACTATGCAGCTCAGGCTGGCCTTGAACTCACTTTGTAGGCCAAGCTGGCCTAGAACTCACAGTGATTCTCCTACAGGAATGTGCCACCACGCCCGGCCTTCCCTTTCTGTCTTCACCTGATACTACACAATCTTTCACCATCAATAGTCTTTCAAAATGTAAATGAGATCATGTGCTTCTATTGCTCAAAACTCCATCACATTTGTCATTTGTAGCAACAGGGATGGAGGACATTATGTAAGTGACTGTCCCCAGGGCATCCGCCCTCTTCCTCCGTCCCACCCAGCTCCCTGGCTTGCTCAGGCTGTGGCCCAACGCACAAAGCACCCTCTCACCTCTGTCCCCTTGTGCTTATTTTCCCTCTGCTTGAAAAGCTCTTCCCTGGGCCTATCCATGGCTGTTTT